AAGAAAGAGGTGGGCCTGGTGGTACAGGCCTATAATCACAGCTACTTAGGAGGCAGAGTCAGGGAGACTGCAAATTCAAGGTCTATCTGAGGTACTGAGAGTTCAAGGTCAGCCAAGGAAACCTGGTAAGACCCTAGGGCTGAAAATTCAGATGTGGTGGAATATACCCTGGAGGCTGAAGCAGGAGGACTGCTGTGAATTTGAGGCTAGCCTAGTCTATAAAGTGAGTTTTGGTCAGCTTTGCCAAGAGTAAGATTCTTCAATGGTCTTACACACACACACACACACACACACACACACACACACACACGTCTATAATGTATAGACACTTAATAGTAAGTAAGCACTTACTTAGAAAAGGTATAGCACTTACCTAAGGCGCTTTTAATCGAAAAAATTTTTTAAAAAAAGAACAAATGAGCTAGAAAAAATATGAGCATATGTTGACTATATACACATTTGTATAAGTATGTACAAATGCCTGCAGAGACACATACATGTCCATAAACATGAATGCCAGCTAATTACTCATCTAATAACTCCTGCCTGGAAAGAAGTCTACCACTCATAGACAAAGTATTTCCTGAGAGGGCCTGATGTTCACACTGACTAGCTTTGACCTAGTTACCTGATTTAATTCAGACACCTGGTAGAGACTTGCTTTAATGTTTAACTTCTGAAATTGATTAATGGATACACAATTCAGAATGTCAATGAGGACTCCAACTGTGGTGTTTTCGCTTTCCTAAGTCCAAGTTTAGAGATCTAGCAATGAGGTCTGTGTTAGAAATGAGCTTGAAATTCTAGACTCTACATACAGAATTTTCAGTCCCCCTACAATTGGGGAACCTTCGTCTGCATTCAGAGTCTCCATTAATAATGCCTTGATATTATCTTCCATGGCTCACCTTTATGGCATGGAGCTTACAGCATTATAAAACCACACAGTAATTGAGGTATAATTACTCATTCCCTGGAAATAATTTGGAAATGACTCCTGGCATCTGGCATCTTTTCTCATGCACAGAATGAGTCAGTAGATTGTAGTGTAAGAAACTGGTTTTCTTATAAAACTTGGGATCATCTGGCTTTTTGTTTCTGGAAACAAAATGATGGTGGAGTCAAACCAAAAAATGCCTTTGCTCACTGAGGAAAATGGCAGTCACTCTAACTGATTCCATGTTTGTACTTACTAACAGTAATGCCCATTAGGCTATTTTTTTACCTATGAGGCTTTAGACAAACTGTCTAACTTATTGTTATCTTCATTTCTTGATCCATTAATGAAACTAGTAATGCCTACCTTTTAGTTACCATACTTTATGTTCTCTTACAGCTTTGTGAGATGATAGCTCTCCTATCAAACACAGCAAAAACTTTAAAAATAGCTACTTTATTGGATTTAAGAGGTTAGACTAAATTACATTTGATGATCAAGGGCTGGAGAGAGGGCTCAGTGGTTACGATTATTTGTTGTTCCTGCAGACAACTCATGTTCAATTCCTAGCACCCACATAAAAGCTCAAAACTATCTAGTTCCAGATGATATAATGTCCTCTTCTGGCCTCTACAGGGACCAGGCATACATGTGGTACATACATATACATGCAGGTAAAAAGCTCATTGTTGCAGGGTATTTGATCACACTGTGAGCCCTTAGATTGTATTATTTACTGAAAAAAAAAAGGGGGGTGTTTCTAGCTGTGCTGTGGCTCAGCCTCAGCATCCACCTTTAAACCCTCTGGCTGGAGTACAGACACATTCTTAGTATTCACCTTTAATACCAAACAACTAAGGTAAAATTAGTTTGTAGAATGAAGCACCTTTGTTTGAAAGTGATGTCTAATTGAGAGGCAGACAAAGTAATGAATCAGAGAAAGATTTGACAGAATAGGACATCCCCAATTCTCAAGAGAAGAGAAAGGAAAGGGAAGCTACTTAAGGAGTACAGAGAGAGAAAGAGAGGAAGTTTTTCCTGGAGAGTTTTATAGAGACAGGTTGAAGAGAGAACAAGCCAGAAAATGAGAAGAAGCCAAAAGATTAGAGGATATTGTCAAAGTTAGTATGAGAACAAGCAGAGAAATTAACGAGAGGCCAAGAAAGAGAGAATCCAGATTGACTCAGTCAGCATGGATAGGAGTTTTGAACCAGGACAGGTGCGTTGACCAGCCAGTCAGAATTCAGAAAGAACTAGAAAGGGGTGAAGGCCTAGATAAGATTATATGAAGGCTAGAAGCTTCCAGGACTGGGCCTAAGTTAGCAGCTGAGGCAGTAAGCCTCCGAGACAACAATTACTACAGATGAATAAAAGTTTTATAACTCATATGCATAAAATATCCTGTACTGTTTATGGATTGTTTCTATAAATATTTTATATTCTGTAGTCACAGGACTATCAGCTACATAAGGCCAGAGGACACACCGGTGCCGTGCTTCATCTACACCTCCCACATCCACCGAACTTAATTCAGTCATGGACATATAAGGCCATCAACAGTCAGATATGAGTTCCACATGGTAGTAATGCTACAGAAAGGAATGCCCAAGAGCACACGGAAAGCCAGAGGAGCCAATGCCTCCACACTGGCAGCTCGCCAAATACCTAATCCTAGAACTCAGTAACAAATAATTTTTAGGATGCCACACTCGACCATATCTAACTACGCATGCCTCTCTGTAGATACATATACGAACTATCCATAGTTATTTATATATAAATAAAATTTTTTGCCAAATAACAAAAAAAATTTACCACACAATTGTGCCCTATTATTTTCTATTGTAGTTGAGCTTAGTATTAGTACCCCTCATGTTTTAATGCTGAACTTGATACATAGCCAAGGGCGACCTTAAACTCCATGTCTTCCAATCTCTACCTCTCCATGTTGAGATTACAGGCGCATGCCATCATGCTCAGCACCTTATGAACATTCTAATTTCATGGGGATCTTGGTAAACTATAGATGAAGTTCAGCAGAACATGGAGGGGGGAATGTTTCTTCATTTCTAACACGGTCCCAGGTCTGCCCAGTGATTAATAATACATGTATTATTATTAATAATAATTAGTATAAATAATGCACATTTGCATTAATTATTCCCAAGGCTGGAAAGGGCTTTCAGAAATTATATCACAAGGTCAGTGAGATTGTTCACCGAGTAAAAGTGCTTGTTGCCAAACCCGACAGCCTGAGTTTGATTCCCGGGAAGTACATGGTGGAAAGAAAGAATAGACTCCGACAAGTTGTCCTCTGTTTATTCCTTTTTTGAAATATTTTAATGTTTCTTTCTTTCTTCCTTTTTAAACTTTTTATTGGTTCTTTGTGAATTTCACATCACACGCACCCATCCCACTCACCTCCCCCTCCCGTCGTATCTGCCCTCCCTCCCCTCAAAATAAAAAACAACAACAAAAGACATCTCATCATGGAAGCTGCAGTGGGACCCACAGTCTACCCTTTTGTCCACACATCTTTATTTGCAAATATTCATTACAGTGAGTCATTGTGGAGGAGGCCTCCGGCTTCTGCTACACTGTCAGTACTGGATCCTCACTGAGACTCCTCTCAGATATCTTGTTTGCCCTGTGTTGTGGAGATCCTGCAGCTTTGGATCAGCAGGACTGGCTCCTTCCCAGGTTGTAGCAGTTTCTAGATGGGTTAGATACTGGGATGGACCCACTCACAGCCCTGGATGTGGGTCTGGGTGCTGGCTGAGTTGGTCAGCCCGTCATCTTTCCTGCATCCATACCACCAGGGCAAGCTCTCTGCTCCCCAAGTGAGGTGCAAGCCCAGCTCTCCTGAGTGCTGCAGCCAATGTGGGACAGGGCCAGCTCTCCCACCTGCCACAGTTGGCGAGGGGTGAGGGGTGAATGGTGAGTGGTGGGGCCTGCTCTTCCACACTCACACCTTCAGGGCCGGCTCACCTGCACCCCAGATACCAGGGTCTACTGTGTTACTCAGACATTCATGGTACAAGGCCAGTTCTCTGGAGGGCTGCAGCCAGTGAGGGCCAGGGCCAGCTTTGCACAGCCTTTGGACATTGGCATGATTCCAGGTGGCAGCCCAGACCAGGGACATCCACATGATACTGTGGTGGTAATAGGAGTCACTGATATCCACACTGACCCCTGCTGCTTGCATGGCTACAGACCCACACCTGGTGCTCAGCAGCAGCATGGGTTGGGGATTTGCCATGGCCTCAGGTGGTAGGCCAGGCTACTCACATCGGGCTATTCGTCTCCACCCTCATGTCTCCAGGTCTGTTCTTCATGACTCACAAGCGGTTCCGGTTCTCTATCTCTCTCATCTCTCCACCCAATACTAGCATAGGGTCATGGGCCACACCTTGGACAGACTTCTCTTAATGTTTGCTTTTGAGAGTTTCTCATAGCTCAGGCTGGCTCTGAATGACCGTGAACTTCCAATCTTCCTGCCTTCGCATTCAGAGTGACTATATGAGTTCTGAGGGCCAGTCGAGTATGGAATTGTGATATGATATCATACCTAAGCAGAGCTTTTGATAGCTCTCTGAGAATCTGCCTTCACTGGCTGGGGAGACAGCTCAGCAGTTAAGAGCAAGTCTGCTCTTTCAGAGGTTCCAGGTTCAACTCCCTGCATCCATATGGCATGTCACGGCTCCATCAGTAACTCCAGTCCCAGGTGACCTGACACCCTCCTTCTGGCCTCTGTGGGCACTAGGCACTCACATAGTGCAGACACACATATAGGTGAACCACTCATAGACATAAAATTAAAACTAAGGAAGAAAATGAAATGTCTGCTGACACATCTGCCAAACAAACACAGCTCTTTAAACTGATCTGAAATGAACAGGCAAGGCAAGAAGCATAAAGACTTGAACTTGACTCTCAACCTAGAAGCAGGTCACGGAGGTACATCAGACTTATGGGCCGGGAATGAGGAGTAAGTGTATATTGCTACAAGCCTCAGGTTCTGAGACTGTTTGTCACTGTAGCAAGCACTGACTGGTACACTCACCATGCTGTATGATGCCATGCTCCATAAGCCGGTGGCAAAGCTGCTCGGCCTCTTTCCTTGTTGTGGCTTCGCCTTCCTGAACCAACCAGTCCAGGAATTCGGATGCCATGAAGGTTCGCTCATACTTCACCCCCTCCTCTTCCCTAGGCTGGAGGAGGGTAGTTTCAGGGCTCATCAATCTGAGAGGGGAAAAAAGAGAGAGAGAAGAAGAGGAAAGTAAATATATACAAAAGGGAAATGGAGCATTTGAAATCCAACATCATAGGCCTCCGGGAAGCACTTCCTCCAGGAAGTGTCACGGAAGAGCTGTCAGACAGACAGATGTAGCTGTCCTTTGCTGCTACAAACATCAATTCCAAGCGAGGGTCTGTGTAAAAAGCAAGCAAGATGCCTTTTCTCCTAGTAATTAGAGAAAATCCGGAAACACAAAACACAAGGCTGCATTCGAGTTATTCATTTGGGACAGTTGGCAGCACTGGGGGTCTGACTCGGTGGTATGGCACTTACCCTGGGTCTGCTATTTAACACCCACTCTCACACCCCCACAATGAATAAAAAAAGAAAAAGGGGTTTGAAGAGATGGATCAGTGGTTAAGAGCACTGACTCCTGTTCTTGCAGAGGTCCTGAGTTCAATTCCCAGCAACTACCTGGTGGCTCACAATCATCTGTAATGGAATCTGACATCCTTTGTGTGTCTGAAGACAGCTATAATTGTACTCGTATACATTAAATAAATAAATAAATAAATCTAAAAAAGAAAGGAAAAGAAAAAAAGGATGAGGCTGGTGAGATGACTCAGCAGTTAGAAGCACTGACTCTTCTTCCAGAGGTCCTGAGTTCAATTCCCAGTACCTATATGGTGGCTCACAACCATCTGTAATGGGATCTGATACCCTCTCCTGGTCTGTCTGAAGAGAGTGACAGTGTACTCATACACATAAAATAAATATTTTTTTTAAAGGAAAAAAAAAGAAAGCAGAGTTTTTAGTCAGGATTTTTACACTGCACTGTCTTACTTAATTGGCTAACAATATTTTTCAATCCCATTTTCAGACTGCTGTGTTAAAACAACTGTGGGATGACTGCATGTGTCACCAGTCCCAATTTGCACATTCACTCTCTAAATGTGACAGCACCTGAGATGGGGAGTTTGGGCATAATTAGCTTTTGAGATTAAAGCCCTTATGGTGAGATCAGAAGAGAGATGAAAGAGAGCCAGTATGATGATGCCTCAGAAGATAAAGGCACTGCCATGGAAGCCCAGTGACCTTGATTCTCAGAACACAGGGAAGAGAGGAAGGTGAGAACCACAGAGTTGTCCACTGGCCTCCACCCACACATGCTCGCCGTGACATGCATTCGCTCAACTCACATCCACACACCATCCCCACACATCAACAAATAAACAATAAATAAATATTCGAAAAGGAGACACAAGAACATCTTGCTTCTTCCCTCATGGCTGTCTCCAAGTGAGGATGTAGCAAGAAGACAGTCATCTATGTGCACACAAGAAGCAATCCCTCACTGAACTGACTGGCATCTTGATCCTGACTTCAAAAACAAGTGTTTCTTGTTTAAGCCATCCGGTACACTGAGGAGAGCTAACAAATGTCTGCCTTTACCTGGGGGTGCCATCCAGAAGTCACCATGTAAGAAGCAGGTACAGATTTCTAGAAGAATGGCCCCAAGGAGAACCAGCATGGGAGGCAATAAATAGCCCGGACCAATTCTCAGACACTGAGGCTATCTTGGGCCTGCCAGACCAACAGAAACACTCTGTGTGACCTACCAGCAACCACATGAAGGAGCCCAGGAGAAATAGCAGATGAACCTCCATGTGACCCATAGAACTAGAAGAAACAGTACATCAGAGCTATTTGAACTACCAAGTTTTAGTAGTTTTTCAATCTCAGTTATTAATGGAGAACAGAAAAAAAAAATACATGACATACAGTAGATCTCTGAACACTGAGAGAAAGACGAAGTGACATCGCCCAGACCTAGGAACAAACTTATATAAACGAAAGCCCTGTAGAGACATCTGGGAGCCTGTGCAGGGGGTGAGACTCAGCTGAAGGACGCATCCACAGGACAAACAAGGACCACCGCCATTCCGCCACTTCTGAAGACCCTCATGGTATTTAGAATGAAGACAGAGAAACATTAGTTTCCTCTGTTTTCACATTTTAGGTATTATTTCCTGTCAGGACTCTCAGGTCTTTATAAATCTAGATACCTAGATACAGTACCTCTTCTAGAACCACCCAGGTAGCATCTGCTTACTTAACAGCTAAGCTAACATTTGGAGGTCATAGACCCATCTGAGTTGTTTATAGGTGTTTCCTTACATAACAGGTTTATTTAAAAAAAAAAAACAAAAACAAATCATTTTCATGAATTCTTTGCTACATTGTATACAAGTATGTATTGAAAAAGGACGTCCTTACAAAGCCAGGAGTGGTGGCATATGCCTTTTGTCGCTATTGTCAGGAAGAAGCTGAGATGGAAGGCTCTTTCATTCAGACCCAGCCTGGGCAACACAGTGAAATATTACCTTACATTTTTGTCTTTAAAAAAGCAAATAAGTAAATAAATAGACAAATAATAATAATAAAAATAAAACCTTTTCCACAAGCTGACAAGATGACTCACTGGGTGATGGCACTTCCCCTTCAAGCCTGATGCCCTGAGTTCTATCCCTAGGGATCATATGGTAGAAGGACAGAACCTACTGCTAGAAACTGTCCTCTGAGCGTCACGCACACACGAAGTGAATAAATAATATAATTAGAATGATTTGTAAATGTCCTCTCTTATTTCTGGTACAGGCTCCTAGCCTTTGCTTCTACCTCGGCCTCTTCCAGCATGGCCACTTTCCTTTTGAGGTGCTGAGCAGACAAGTGCACGGGGCTACTCTATGGAGCTTCATGTAGCCAGAAACATGACCTGCTCTGTCCTTTTGGACTTCTGCTAAGTAGCTAGTGGCCTCTGGACAAGTGGCTGGCTACCTGTTCCTGCCAAGGCTTCAGGAAAGAAGCCAGCTGGCAGGCTCAGCTGGCCCAGCTTGCCATTTAAAACACCCCAGTGTCCCCAGCTCATCTGTATTCATTTCCCATTACAATCCAGGAACGTCCCCCTCCTGGTTGCTCTTTAAGACCAAGGCTTTCTTGAGATTGAATTTTAGTATTTATATGAAGTCTTTAGGTTAAAGCAAGCATTTAGCTTCTGATTGCCTTCTGCTATGTAAAAAATTACTCTCAGCAGCTAGAGAGATGGCTCAGCAGTTAAGAGCACTGGCCGCTCTTCCAAAGGACCCAGGTTCGATTCCCGGCACCTACAGGGCAGTTTATCACCATCTATGACTCCAATCTCAGGAGATCGGACTTGCTCTTCTGGCCTCCATAGGCACAGGAACTCAAATGGTGCACAGACATACATGTAGGCAAAACACTTAAACTCAGTAAAAATAAATATACACTCTTTTTTTTTTTTCCTCCGAGACAGGGTTTCTCTGTGTAGCCCTGACTGTCCTGGAACTCACTCTGTAGAACAGGCTGGCCTCGAACTCAGAAATCCGCCTGCCTCTGCCTCCCAAGTCCTGGGATTAAAGGCGTGTGCCATCACTGCCCGGCAAATATATACTTTTAAAAGTAAAAAAATTGTCTCTTAAGTATCCTATAGGTTCCCCAGGATTTAATTTGGCAGTCCCCTCTGTGGCTGTAGGTTGGAAGGCATCTCACACAATTGTGTGAAGGGATGGCCAGAGCCAGATATTCAACCCCGGACTACATCTTGATATAGCCTCTGCCCTGGAAGGCAACCTGGGCTACACACGTGGAGCTACAGGGCTCCAGGAAGAGGAAGCAACTGCTACCAGGATGCTGGCTTTACCTCTTCCTTCTCATCCCCTCACTTCACCTCTGGATTTATTCAGATGTAATTCATACACCATATGATAACTCACTTAGCTGGTACAATTCAATGGTTTTTACTACACTGCAATCCCCATAATATGGGTTTGAGCATTTTCTTTTTGTTGTTGTTGTTAAAAATTTTTTTTAAAGATTTATTTATTTATTTTATGTATATGAGTACACTGTAGTTGTCTTCAGACACACCAGAAGAGGGCGTCAGATCACACTGTAGATGGTTGAGAGCCACCATGTGGTTGCTGGGAATTGAACTCAGGACCTCTGGAAGAGCAGTCAGTGCTCTTAACCGCTGAGACTTCTCTCCAGCCCGAATTTTTTTTTTATTGGCTATTTTATTTATTTACATTTCAAATGTTATTCCCTTTCCCAGTTCCTCCCCACTATCACCTCCCCCCCCCAAACCCCATTTGGGGATAACATTTGAAATGTAAATGGAGCCCTGTAGCTCCATGTGTGTAGTTCAGGTTGCCTTCCAGGGCAGAGGCTATATCAAGATATAGTTCGGGGTTGAATATCTGGCTCTGTCCACCCCCTATCCCTTCCCCCCTCCTCCTGCTTCTGTGATGGTGCTCCTCCACCTACCCACCCACTCCTGTCTCCCTGCTCTGGTGCTCCCCTACACTGGGGCATCTAGCCTTCACAGGAGCAAGGGCCTTTCCTCCCATTGATGCCCCACTAGGCCATCCTCTGCTACATATGCGGCTGGAGCCATGGGTCGGTCCAGGTTTGCATTTTCATTCCACAACTAAAACATCAACAACAATAACAAAAACCTCACAGCTACTAACAAACTATGCAGCCCAGACTAGCCCAGCTCTCTGTATCTGCCTGTCCCTCCCTCCCAAATGCTGTAAACATAGCTATGGATCACCGTGCCTGGTTCTCTATTTTAATATTATATGGTTTTTGTTCACCTCAGCTTTATAAGCTACACATACATGCAATATAGCCTATACCGCCTAGGTTTGTGTAAGTGTACTGTACAATGCTCACACAGTGACAAAGTCACCTAGTAATAGGTTTCTCCTACCATGTCATTAAGTAATGCATGACTGTACAGGATTGTCTGTGTATTTTTCTTTTTTTAATCATTATATACACAGAAATGGAATGGTTCAGCCATATGGAAACTGTTCAGCTTTTTGAGAAAGTTCAAGACTGCTTCCCAAATTCTCCACATTCTAGCCAAAACATCATTGTCATCTGTTCCCTTTCACTGTACCTGTTCTGTGCGTGTGACGTA